CCTGCATGCTTCTTTATGCACACACGTATTCACACACGTATATTTTTACCAAAAATCATATTACACTCTAATGGTGCTTTATAATTTGCTATTTTGCCAATTAATATTTTATCATTAACAGCTATTGATTCATTAAATATATTTTGATGATATATAATTTTTAATGTCTTAAAGCATTTCATTTTTTGAATATGATGTGACTTAATTAACCAGTTAATGTCCACTCACATTGCTTCCAATTTTCAAATACATATGATAAATGATTCCTGATAAGGACTCTTGTAACCAAGTCTTGACACACATCTGTGACTTTTTCTTGTCTTTTAAAGCATCTAATATACATTACCAAAATGCCCTCAGAGAGATGGTACTAATTAGACTCTTATCAGTACTCACATCCCTACAAACTCACCACCAGTATACACCAAAACACTTTTTGACCACTACTTCTAAAAGTATCAGTGTGACAGTGTCATATGGGCAGGCCTCTCACCACTAAGTGCTGCTCCGTCTCCTGCTGGGGACACCTGATCCACCTTCTGGGCCCTGTACGGTGGGAGGGGAACACGCTTCCCAAAAGTCACCTTGACCATATGTATAGGAAGGAAAATCACCTTTGAAATACTGAAAGTGGGGATAGGGCAGGGGGCTCTAGGGGGCTCTAGAGCCAGTCAGGATAGTACCCCGTAGGAAGGGTGGGAAGCCCATTACATGGCGTCCTCCTTGGCCCTGCCTAGATGACTCATCCTCACGTTTCTCTGGTGACTGCCTAAGCCAGGGCCTGGGACAGCAGCATCTGTTATCTGTGAGCCAACTGTATCTCACTGTTGTCACTGACCACTGAGGTTACAGGAGTGAGATGCTGTGTTTCAAAGGACCTGTCCCTATCTAGAACAACCAGTCCCAGTCCCCATACCACTCATATTTTCCTGTTGCTTAAGTTCCTAATATACACATCCTATACCTCTTCACTATAGGTCAATTCTTTATTTTATAAAGTAGATCAAAATTCATTCCATTGTGGGCCTGGCCATGATCAGGAAACTGGGACTGTAAACTGAAGGCCTTTGAATCTAGGAAAGGCAATTCTGACCTCATGGTTATTGTCATCATAGAAATTTGTGTGTGTTTTTAAAAATTGAATTTCCCTGCGTATTCTCTCATTTAATTCTCACAACACTCCTATTAATGAGGGGCTGTGTCTCAGAGCAGGGAAGTGGCTCACAGGTAGCACACCACTAACTTGCTGGCTGTGAACTCTGGGCTCTGTCCACCTCACTTCGTTATCCCTGGAAGTGCTACCAGCCCCAGAGTGCCACAGGGCAAAGGGAGCGAAGTTCTGGCCCAGGATCAGGGGACCTAGTTCATGGCCTGGCCTTGCCACAGCTGGTGAGACTGAGGATAGCCTGCCACCCTTTTCCGGACTCAGAATCCCTATCTGGGATTGGAAAGATTGGATCAAACAATCTCCAAGATTTCTTCTAACCGTGCGGTCTTAGTTAAGGCTTATTTGGTGGCAACAGAAATCCACTTGGCTTAAACAGAAGTGGAGAGAATAGTCTAAAAGTCCAAGGATCTCACAGAGCTGAGGCAGGAACCAGCACCAGACCTAGAGGGCCTGGGACCTGGGAGGTAGCTCTTGAAGCCCCTTCTCTGGACTTTGTGGGTCTCTATTTCTTTTAGCTCCTCTGTCCATTCTTTCTCTGCTAACAGGTGTTCTTTTCCTACAGACCAGCTTTTTCTATGTCTTTGGCCAATGGAGTCATGTAACAACCTAGCTTATTATAAGTCCTCACTTCTGGGAGTCAGCTGAGCTCTACCCAAACGCCAATCCCAAATCCCCAGAGAAAGGAATCCTACTGGGCGAGGTGGTTGGATATCCACCTTGGTCACCTGGGTCCTGGTTATGTCCAGGAAGGCAGGGACATGTAGCACAAAGAAGCAGGGCCTCTGTGGGAGAGATGCCTCCAAGGGGCTCCACACACAGGACAGGAAGAGCGTTCTTCAGAAACAAGGTTAAGTATCATTCTGTTCCAGAGGAGGTGACATTGAGATCTATAGAAAAAGTGCAAGCTTACCAGCAAAGCTGGCCCGTGTGCAGCATCAGCAGGAATGACTCCAGCGCCCTCCCCAAGGGCATGCGTGACAGCTGTGTGATGGCCAGCAAGCCAGTCCCCTTAAGATACCCAGCTGTCTTGCTGCCTATGAGCTGGGTGATGTGGGACTGCAGCACCAAGGGGCTTGGAAAGGACCAAAGGATGGAGACAGCAGAGACCACCAGCACCAGTGCTCAGAGCTTGATTAGAGCTTCAGCACCATTTGCCTCCACTGATCCTGGCAGCTCTGTTTCCCTGACCACCTTACTTTAGTTCTTAAAGGTGGCGTCATCCCATCAGCCAACCTCGGCACAGACACAGTTGTGTGTGTGTACTTTTAGACACTATCTATGATAGTTTGGAGAGTTTCCTTGGGACCCTCCCTAAGCCTGCTCAGTCCTGAAGGGACCCATGTGGGAGGAGACCAGGGTGGGCACCCTGGAACTCTTTGGGTGTGTCCACAGTACCAAGGTCACAGATTCCATGAGTGCAGGAAGGGATCAAGGGGGCTGACACATGAATCCCTCAGGCTGGGCAGCAAAAGTCCAGCTAACAAACGCTGCTGAGCCCTTGCCAGGTATGGAGTTTTTACTCCAAGCTGAAGATGAAGCCCTGGGTCTAGAAACTGACAGTCTGCAGGGAAAGGAAAGATATACCCAGGCTGGAAAGAATGAGGTGGGAAACGCCTCCAGGTGGCTGAGTGACCTAGTCCTTGAGTCCTTGAGGATCTGGGCAGAGGCAGAGGCAGCCTAGCAGGGGTGATGGGCTCTGGAGGTGAGGGAAGGAGGACAGCGAAGGTGAGGATGTGGGGGATGTGACAGGCACATGTGGGACCCTAGGGTCTAGGGCTTACAGGTAGAAATAGGGGAGAAAAGGTCTGAAATATAAGATCAGAAATGCAAGGTCTTGAACAGCAGCTTAAGGAGTAGGAATATGATCCCATAAATAATGGGCGCTGGAGATGATTTTTTAGCAAGTAGGTGAGTTGGAGAAGAAAGCAGCAGTTAGGTATGAAATATCTGACTTTTACATGATGAGAGTCCTCAGTAGATTCCAGTTTGTGAGAAGAAAGTACTGGAGGGGTTTGGATGGGAAGTTATTACAAGTCGTTCAGGAGCCAGATGCTAAGAGCTTGGGTCAGGGTGTGTAGGGGAGTGAGTGGTTGGGAACAGACATTTGAAAAACTGCTAACACTCTGGGGGACACGGTTGCCCATTTGCTAGGGGAAGGAGAGAAACATCAATCCTGGATTACTATGTGGTCCCAAAGTCAGAAATAGGGGGTGTTTTTTATCTCCAACACCTACACACCCTCACATGGCAGGGTCAGGGTAATCGGTGAATCGAGGAATTCTGTCCTTAAAAACTCACATCCCTTCTCTCATCCTCAGCTCTCTGGAAAGGCCCTAAGAGCCGTCAAATGTGTATCATAGAGGAAACTGATAGAAGAGGAAAGAGGAGAGACAATTTCATTGCCAGCCTTGTAATCAATACTTTATCCATATTCTCAGAAATTCTCAAAATAATCAAAGGCGCTCTGTGGGGAGGAGTGCAGGGCCCGGCTGTTCAGGACAGGGGGCTCTCAGCTCCGCAGCACTTCAGGCTTCCTGCTGGGATGTCTGGCGCAGGGCATCAAACAGGCAGGCCAACAGATGGGCAGAGGAAAGCCTGTTGGGGACAAGGTCTACCCTTGGGCTAGACATCTGCCCATGCTCCGACTGTCAGGACGCTGAGTAATGACAAGGACCCCTGTCAGGAAGTCAGGCAGAGAAGAGCTTTGGGGACACAGGTAGGGAGTTTGACAGGATGGTAAGGCCCCAGAGAGACAGGTAGATCTAATCCTGGGTGACAGGTCAGGGCTTGAGTCCAAGGCGTGGGGTCATCTGCCAGAGGCTGTGACTTGAAACCACTGTTCAAGTTCATTCTTCTTTGGAGCTCAGTTGGCACTGGTTTCTCTCAAATTTACATTCCAACCTCAGCCAGCTTATCTGGTGGGAATAACAGGCTGGCATAGGAATGCTGATGAGAAAAGGGATGGGAGAGGTATTTTGTAACTAATCAGGTTATAATTATGGACACCCAACTATGAAAAAAAAATAAAGTCATTGTTCTTGGACCTGAAAGACAGGACCAGGAGTCAGGTTTTAGAGTCACATGGGTTTTCCCTTTTGTTCCAGCCTGCTTTTTCTTCTTCTCTGTTAATTCATTAATCTAGACTCTAGATTCCAGAGCCAGTTAGATTTCTTTCAGGAGGGACTGTGTTAATTTGGGTTTGACCTTCTGATCCTCGTGGGTTGATAATGACCGAGTGCTACATATTCACTCACAGCAAACAGCATGTTAATCCTGGGCCTGCTGTGTGGAGCAAGACAGACTGGATTTCAGCTCTCAATCTCCAAGAAGGAAGCAAAGTAGTTTCCTAGAAAATAGTAAGGGACCTAGAAGTTTTCTATGTTGAGAATACAGACAGAAAATAAGGTCTGAATGTTTATATCCCTTCAAAATGTATCTGTTGAAACCTAACTTCCAAGGGGATGGTGTTAGGAGGTCGGGCCTTTGGAAGGTGATCAGGTCATGATGGCGGATCCCTTATGAATGAGATTAGTGCCCTTATAAAGAAGACACCCCATGACCCTCCCACCATGTGAGAACACAGCTAGACGGCAGTATCTATGAGCCAGGAAGTGGCCCCTACCCAGACAAATCTGCTGATGCCTTGGTTTTCAACTTTTCAGCCTACAGAACTGTAAGAAGTAAATCTCTGTTGCTCATAAAATCTCTGTTGCTCATAAGCCACTCCCTTTATGATATTCTGTTATAGCAACCTGAACTGACTAAGGCAGCAGAGGAACATAACCAGGAGAGATACAAAAGGAGTTAGGGGCAGGAAGAACAAGAATGGGAGTCAAGGAAGCTGGGGAATCCAAGCTGGAGGATTCATCACCAGGCTCAAAGGCAGAAACTAACTCAGAAGAATGAGAGCTGCAGAAGGCTCAGAAGAATTGGCTGCCAGGGGGCAACTGGCTTCCTTTAGGGGAACAGCTTCAAGAGAAAATGGGGGCAGAGACCAGGTATGGAAGGACAGTAGGGATAGGGAGGCAGAGTGAGCCCTTTCAGATGCTCCTCAGAGAAGAGGAAGCAAAATAACCTGCAGGGCGCTGTGCACCAGGGGAGGTGCTTAAAGAGAGGGCAGACTGGACAGAGGACCACTGGGAAAATAATTTTACTTAGATTATTTTTTAAAATAATCTGAACTAACAATAAAAGAAATGGAGAAATAAATTATGATGTAGTCATAAGATAGAAACTTCATGGAAATTAAAAAGTAATGAGTTATTGCTAGATATAATATACATGAATTGTACCATTTTGAGCAAAAGAACACATGATGGGGCGGTGCTCAAAGGGGTAGGGCACTGGCCCCATATGCCAGAAGTGGCAGGTTCAAACTCAGCCCTGGCCCAAAACTGCAAAATATAAATAAATAAATTTCAAAAAAAAAAACACATGATGAGATGGCTCAGATGGGCTGTTGTCAGGAGGCCTCAGTTCCTTATCATGTGTCCCTCTTCACAGGACTGCTTGAGCAACATGGCAGCTGGCAGCTGGATTCATCCAGAATGAGTATTCAAGAGAGAGCAAGATGGAAGCCACCCTGTCTTTTATGGCTTAGTCTCAAGAGTAACACCTATCCCTTGTACTATGTTCTATCCATTAGAAGCAGTCACTGTGGCTAGCCCACACTCGAGGGGAGGGGAATTAGGTTCCTCTTGAAGGAAAGCGTATCAATTTGTGGGCCTATTTTAAAACCACCACAGCACAGAACTGAATAGTGCAGTGTTCTCAAGTATTCAGAAGTTTAGTAGTCAAAGGACAGGGTCTAGGACGTCTCTTGGTAGGCAGAATAATGTCCCCCAAAGATGTGGGGGGACATTCCCTGAACCTGTGAATATGTTATGTTGCATGAATTAAGGTTGCTAATTGGCTAACCTTAAAAAGATTATTATTTTTCATTATTCAGGTGGACTCAATGTAATCACAAGAATCCTTAAAAGTAGAAGCAAGAGGCAGAAGAGTTTCAGTTTCAGAGTGAGAGGCCTGAGAAAGACTCACCTAGCCATTGCTGGCTTTGGAGATGAAAGAGGGGGCTATGAGCCAAGGGAAGCAGGCAGCTTCCAGGAGCAGGAAAAGGCAAGGAAACAAACTCTTCCCTAGCTCCTCCGGAAGGAATGTAACCATGTGACACCTGGGTGTTAGTCCAATAAGACCCATTTTAGACCCATTTCTTATTGGCTTATGCCATTAAATTTGTAATCTGTTATAGCAGCAATTGGGAACTAATACAGGGCTGTGCCCACACTTCTTTCTCCCATGCCTGCCTCACTTCTGCTTTCATCATATGCTTCTGATTGTTGTACTGATTTCTATATAGCCTATATTTTTATTATGCCTAAGTGCCATCCCTCCTTTAAAACTGTAAACTCCTTTAGTTGAAACACATTCTTCTTAGTATTGTATGACAAGAATGAAAAAGCAAATATCCAGTGAACTCAGTACTGATATGAAGCCAACAGATGACCCAATGCATGCCCAAACAGGAGAAAAATTCATTTCAATTCAAGTTGGGGGGAGGGGTAATGAGGGAGAGGGAGGGGTTGCGATGCTCCCACTGAATGGGTATGGGGGGGAAGGGGGATTGACGCACCTTTTGGGTGTGGGATGTAACCACAAGAAGAATTCAACCTAACTAAGTCACATACTTTGACCTGGTTGCTGTACCCTCACATTAACCTGAAATAAATTTACTTATGGAAAAAAAAAAAAAACAAAACTGTGAACTCTTGAGAAGAAGATCTGCATTGCGCTTTGGGTTTTGTTATTAAAATGCTTATCTGAAGCACCAAATATGTGGCTCATTACTATGCTGCCATTAAGAACCTGACCAGTTGTTTATTAGACTGTCTAAAAGTGGAAACAGGTAACTTAGCAAAGAGATGAAACAAGAAAGAACTGCTGTGAAATAAAGTATAGAATCCCATCACGACCTCCTCTCTCAAACTGAAGCCAAAGCCCTACACCTGCGGCAGGATATTTCACTAAAATACTCTTTTCTCCATATCTTTCTTTTTTTTTT